TTAAAACTCTCACCAATCCAAATATACTATGTATGAAAATACAATAAGCTCAAGTGGGTGGGTGTAACAATGAGTAAAATCAAATCAAAACTAAACTCAAATTAAAACTAGCTTTAATAATATGATAATCAAACAAATAGATATAAAGCTAGAAATAGAGTTTAGAAAACTTCTCAATAGATCAAGAGGCTGAGAAGAAAGGTTGGATGCTCAAACACCAATGGTTGATCTCCTCAAGCTCTTGTGAAATTGATATCACAAAACAAACTCTCAATTTGCTTAAAAGCTTTTTAAACAAAACTTAAACCAAATACAAACCCTTGTTAAAACTTGTACAAAACTTAAACCAAATACAAACCCTTGTTAAAACTTGTTTAAAACACTCTCTTGGGTGTAGAAAATAGTTATGGCAAAGGTGTATATATAGGGTAGAAGAAAATAACCCAAAAAATCTCAAAAAACTACTAAAAAACCAAAAAACAGAAGTTACCATTACTGTTCAACAGCTGGATACTACAGTAACGGCGGTTGACCGCGCTGCAGTGCTGTCGACCACACTGTTCACGAACAGTTTCTGTTTTTGACAAATTCTGGAATTTTGCGTATTTAATTTTGTAAAATCAATTAAAAATAGTAAATCAACTCCAAAAATCATGAAAATTTGAGAGAATGTTCTAGACATGTAGATAAACATGTTAGAGAAAGAATTTCTAAAATATCACTTCCCAGTTAAGAGAAATAATTGTTTAAACATAGATATACAGTTTCTAAAAAAACTGCTAAAAACTCGATTTTGTAAATTCAATTAAAAATAACAAAACAACTCCAAAATTAGTAAAACTTAGGGAAATGTTTGTATATATGAATATAAACATGTAAACAAAGAAATTTTTTGAATCACATTTTCCAATTGTAAAAACGTATATGTTTTGCAAAAACATGCACGAACATGTGCACGAATATGAGCTTATTAAAAACTTGATAATGTAAATTCAAATAATCATAACAAATTAATTCCAAAATTGATAAAACTTTGGAAAACATTTACAAACATAAAATTGAACATGTTAGAAAAAGAATTTCTCAAATTGAATTTCCCATTTATGAAAACTCATGTATTTTGCAAGTGTGTCCAAAACATAAAAATGTGATGTACATGAAATTTGATGTTTTGACATAAATAATATTTTGAAACCCTATGAAATGATTTTATAGACTTAATGAAATATGTATACAATGATTGTTAAGTTCATAAACTAAAACTTGTGTATATATATATAACTATATATATAAAAAACAAATACGTGTGTGTATATATGATTGAACTTAAAGTACTAACACACATAATATAAAACCTAAACTAAATATACCCAAGTTTGATTGATCTTCGATATAGCTCAACTTGGTACTCTTGCGGATGAAGCTAGAACTTAGATCTTCAATTTAAATTGCATAGGCTTCACTCCACAATTCCGCCAACCTCCATTTGATATGATCGTGAATGCTCGATTCCATCCATCCTCCAACTTGTTGTTTGTCTACAATAAATAGAATTATACAAACACTAGACAAGCAACATTAGAAGTAAATTGTTTATTAAACATCATCAAAACATGAAGGCCAACATTTATATCATCCTTAGTTTCATATCCTTGCATATTAAGCGTTGAATGTCTATTTTTCTAGGATATTTGTTAATAAGATTTTAAATAGCATTAAATTGAATTAGATTAGCATAAACCCTATTCACCCCCCCCCCCCCAAGATTTTAAATAGCATTAAATTGAATTAGATTAGCATAAACCCTATTCACCCCCCCCCCCCCCCCCCCCCCCCCTCTAGGGTTCTTTCCTAGTGGCATTAGGGCCTAACACTGTTGATTTTGGTGTAGTTTGAGGTGAAACAGTTTGCAATTTCTTTTGGGATATAGGGTGTGGATGGCTTATAATACGGGTAGGTGATTTGTTCTTCTATAATCAGGGCTGCAATTATGTTTTTCTTTTCTTTTTCCTAAAAATTCATTGTATCTTCTTTTGATTGATTAGTGTTGGTTAGTTAACTTGGTGGCTTTTAGTTTGCATTTGAATTCTTGATTTAATGGTTTCAAGTTAGTTTGAACTGAAATTATGTATGTTTTTAGTTTGCTTTTGAATCCTTGTTTCAATGGTTTCAAGTTAGTTTGAACTAAAATTATGCGTGTTTCACTGATAGATGATTATTCAAGCTGAAGTTATGCAACCTTAATTCATCCTTGATATTTAGGCTAGTGAACTATATATACATATTAACGAAATAGGAAAATAATCATAATATCATAGCCGAAATAGGGGAAAATAATCATACTATCTTTGCTTAAAATCATACGGTGGCCCATGACATGGTTGTAGGGGGGAGGGGGTTACCGGCTACGAGACACATTGGACTCGATGGTACTAATTTATAGATCAGATAAAAAAGTTTTGGTGATGTATTTGACTAAAAAAGCTACTAATTTATAGATCAAATGAAAATGTTTTGCTGGGATGTATTGGACTAAAAACGTTTAGAGGGTTATATGTAATAAGCCTTAAAGAGACCAGAATGAGGGACTAAATTGCGAAACCTCTTAGAATTTGAGGAAGGTATGAGCAATTTCAATGATTGCACGAACTATGGAATTATCGAAGACTTGAAGGACTAATATATAAAGAACCCAAAAGAATAACATATATGGCCCTCTATAGAAAATTACATAGGGATAAGTGACATTTATAAAGTTAAGAGAGTTATCTTATAAACATTTTTACTTAAAAGGTTTGTGAAATTTATCCTAAATTAAAAAGGACCCACAAAACCCCTCTAAAACTTTGTTTCTTTCCTTGAGACCTAAAACTTCCCCCCCCCCCCAAAAAAAAAAACCCTCTAACTCTAAATAATGTGAGGTAACCTAGAAAACATTTTATTTTCCGTAGAAAAACCAACCAACAAACGTCTATTGTAATTCCAAGATCTAATTACCAGTTCAATCCATTCTCCCCTTCTTTTTTCTAGGGCTTACCTTCTCGTTATTTTCTTGCTTTTTGGAGGGTTTATATGGGACAAGCTAAAAGTTTTGGGGTTTTTGTGGGAAAAAAAGTTAAGGAGAGCTTGAAAGAAATGTTCCAAAGTTTGGGGTGTAATCTTTTAAAATTTGTCCAGTTAAAAATATAAAAATTAAGGGGAAAACATAAAAATAGCAGCCGGGAATCGGATGGATCGATTGTACATATTATACATGCACGAAGCTCACATCGTCTTCGGAATCTGGTCCGAGCCATTCACAAGCCCATGACTTCACTTAACCTGACAGCACCACCTCTGGTCCAGACACTTACCATCGGCCCCACATGTCATCCGCTCTCCCTCACACCCCCTTTCTTTCAAAACTCCAGACAAACACATTTCTTCTTCTTTCCAAAATTCCACTGGAACTCCAGATCTAATCTAGGGGTGGAAGTGAACAGAATAATTAATAAAAAGTTTGGTTATTATTCGTCCAAATATTCGATCAAGTTTGATTCGGGTGTTCATTTAGTACTAAACAAATATTTTTTAATATTCGGTTTATAAATAAATAAAATTTAACAAAAGGTATGTCCGATCCGAGAGTCCATTAACTATTCGATTAGTGTTTACATTTTAGTCTTATTAATTGAATTTATTGCAAATATTACTTATCTAAAATTTTATTTACAAATGCTATCCATATAAATAGGTAAGAGAGGATTCTAGGGCTATGGTTTTCACTTTTCTCCTTGAGGGGCTGTTTGGTTAGCTTCCTAAAATCAAAGAAAAGGAAATTAACCTAGGAAATCTTTAAAATATTATTTTCATCCGTTTCCATCATTAAAAATCACCCACATCATCCAATAATATGGTGACAACTCATCTCATCTCATGTTCTTTCTTACCTTTCTTACTTTTGAAAATAAACCAAACATAAGAAATGAGTCACATCATCCAACTCATCTCATCTCATCTTTAAAAATCACCCACATTATCTAATAATATGGTGACAACTAATCTCATCTCATTAAAATTTTATTTCCATCCATTTCCTAAAAAAAATGAAATTGGTTTCCTTAAGTATGAGTCATATTATCCAATAATATAATGACAACTCATCTCATCTCATCTATTTTTTTAGTTTTGAAAATGAACCAAACACAAGAAAAGAACATATTATAGGAAATAGATTTCTTATAAATCATTTCCTTATTTTTTTAGCCAACCAAACAACCTCAAAACAAGTTTTCTTAGGGGGTGTTAGTGAATTGAGATATTTTCATGTAAAATGGGATAATTGTTAAAGTAGAATAATTTTTCGCTAGTGGAATATTTTAGTGGGATAAATAGGAACAATTTTTTGAAGCGGGATATTTTGATAAAATAACATGAGATAAAGTTTTATAATCATGAAATATATATTTATGCATTTTGAAGATATAAATACTATTTGTGTATTTTAAACTTACTATTATTAATTAATAATTGCTTATAAGAATGTTCTTTACTATTAAATAACTTTTGGTTAGACTATAAGATATTAACAAGTATTATTATAATGATGGTCTAATGATGGTGATAACCATAATAGGAAAGAAGTAAAGAAAAAGAAAGAAATATAAAAAATAACAAAATAAATATGAGTGCTAGTTTTTTACCACCTAGTTCCAAGCTAAAACTTGGAATAATTTGAGAGGCTAGAACTCTCATTTTTGTATAGAAAAATAAAAAAAGTGGGATTTGTTAGAGTTCTACTTGACTAACACTGTAAAATCTTGTTCTAGTTTTATGTCTATGTGACTAATACCTTATAAATTTATCACACAGATTATCCCAGTTCTAATTTTAAGTTCTAGGTGACTTACCTCCTTTAAAAAAGCACAAACATCATCTAATAATATGGTGACTTTTAAGAAGTAAAAAAAAAAAAATCATTTATAGGAAATCAATTTCCTATTTTTTGATTTATTTTTTTAAGCCAAACAAACAGCCCCTAGGTTTCTATCAGCCGCCGCGTCCTCCTCCAGATCTGACTCCATCTCGGCTCCTCTCTCTCTCCCCTAACTCCAAGCAGATGGGCTCGTCTCTCCTCTTTCTCTCTCTCCTCTCTCCTCTCTCCTCCTTCAGATCTGTGACTCCAAGCGGATTCTAGAGCTCGGGTTTTCACTGTTCTCCCTCGAAGCTGGTTCCTCACTCCTCCCTCAAAAGCTCGTCGTCCCTCGAATCTCGTCGTCGAATCCTCCGTCGAAGCTCCGTCGAATCTCTCACACCCCCTTTCTTCCGAAACTCCAGGCAGACGCATTTCTTCTTTCTTTCCAAAATTCCACCCGAACTCCAGATCTAATCTTAACCAAACCTTCCATTTCCCAAGATCAAGAGAATATCCAATTCCGAAGATCTCCAAGAATTCCACCGTTAAACCTTGAGGAATTCTGCTCTCATGTCGGACAGCGAAGAGGACGAGCTCCTCCAGATGGCGCTCAAGGAACAAGCCAACCGCGATGTCAGTTATCAGAGACCTTCGTCGAAATCGTTGAAGCTAGTAGTCAATCTCGTCTAGGCTCCCGTCGCGGTCAACTGCAGGAGCCAACACAGGAACCCTAACCCTAGAATGAGCTCCGCCTCTTCGTCCAATTCGAATAAGAGAGGAGGTGGAGGAGGAGGAGGAGGAGGAGGTGATGATGATGATGATGATTCTGAGGTGGAGATGCTGAGCATATCGTCGGGAGACGAGGAGGATTCGTCGAGAGAGATCGGGATCCAGCCACAGAAGAATCGGGTGAGGAGGCCGTCGAGGGATGATGGTGATCGAGGAGGAGATGATGGAGGGGAGCCTAGGACTTGGAAGCGGGTCGATGAGGCTGAGGTGAATTAATACCTTTCCTTTATGTTTTAATGTTGGAATGAGTTAGATTAGCTGAATTAATACCTTCCCGTTTACTGCAAAGCCGACCCGACTAATAATGTAAAAAAGCACTACCTCTAAAGTTTTCCCAAAGTTCTACTCCTTTCTCTATTCTCCCTCTAGTTCAAACTTAGTGCCTGTGACGAATGTCTTCGGCCTTCGTCGACGCTCTCTCTACAAGCTCCCTGACGGTCACCTCGAAGCTCTTAAGCATTCCCTTTGAAGCTCTCCTGTGAAACAGATTAGTCGAAGGTTCTTGGTAATATTTTTTATTTTTATGAATTCTATATATTTTAACAAATGATAAATAATAATATATATTAAAATTAAAAAAATAATTCCGCATAATCTGATTAAAGGGCGCATAATCCGATAAATTGTTAAGCACTCTCGGACCGCTCACATGATAAAATCGTGTTTTTGAACATTGGTGAGTAGTACAATAAGAAAGGATTAAAAGTTTCAACAAAAATAAAACCCAATAAACGAGACATGAGTGGTTTAATATCCTCTCTGTTACCTAGGCTTTCCCAAGGCTCTAGCTATTCAAGTGTTACTTCCTTACCTTCTTCATGATATTTTACATGATTGCAAATATTGTGTCATGGAAGAAGATGAAGAACTGTTATATCACGAAATACTCAAAATAAGAAAAATTGTAGTCTTTGTGAAAATGGACTGTCGTGTTGTCACTGCTCCAGTTAGTTAGATGAAAAGGTACAATCTTTGTACACAAAGATGTCATGACACTCATAGAGGTTAGTTTGAGTAAACCTTGCTGGAAGGCATCTTGGGCACTAGCATATAAAGAGGTGGGTTAAATATGTTCTCTTTTAGAGTCAGTAGATAGTAAAATGGTTAGTCAACACTGAAGTTCTAAAACACAGTTTCATTATACGTACAGTCCAATATCAGGACACACTCAATCGGATTATGTGGCTATTAATCGGACCATGCAGCATTATGCGTTTTTGAAATTTTTAATATATATTATTTATTCCATATAAGAATATAATAATTCATGAAAATATAAAGACTGTAAAATGGTTAGTCAACACCCAGGTTCTAAAGCACGGTTTCACTATACATAACTCAATCTGATTATGTGGTGATTAATCGGATCATGTAGGACTATGCGTTTTTGAAATTTTTAATATATATATTATTTATCATCTATAAAAATACATTAATTCATGAAAATATAAAACATACCTAGCAAAGACTAAATAATCTCCCAACTATTCAACACTTAAAAGTAAGACTTTTAAAATTTCATAAACTAAAATTACTTCCATATGTTATAAAAATTTCAAATACTAATAAATTCCTCATTTAGTCTTCCTCATAATCCTTGCGGTGATTGGTGGTGGAACGATGGGAGATTGCAGCGGTCAGCGTTGACACTGTGTGATAGTGATCGACAACTAGTGTTAGTGGAGTGGGGGCTGTGGGAGTGACTAGCTTTAGTTGGAAGTAGCGTATTATTTTTTAGGTAATTAAATGCAGTTTAGGTCAGATATATTATGCACCAGCATAATGGAATTTCATTACGTTGGCGCATACCCTTTAACCGCTCAGTTGTTCGGGTTTCCTACATAATCGAGCGGGTTTCATCTACCCACACGTTAGGAGTACTTGGGCGAGTACTCGGATGGGTAGAGTGTGTTATTAAAAACTGGTCAACACATGTTGAAAATTTTGAAAAATAAAGCCCATCACTTCTCATACAATTTTGAACATGAACCCTCAAATTAATATAGAAAATTCATTCTTAAAAGGATAGTGTTAAATCAAAGTGAAGTCTTATAAAAAATTGTAAGTTATGAAAAGAGTGAAATATGTCATCTCAAGCTTCCATTAACGAATAGAAAAAATTTTCTAAATGAAAATTCATTTCTAAACTTCTTTTTATAACTGATATCTTTAAACAACATAAAATCTATAAATATTAGAAAATACTCCTAGAGTCAAATAAAAATGATGTTTATGGTTAGAATGAGTCTAGCACCCTAGGAGGTATATATCAACTTTGTGTGGAAATTTTATCTTTTTATGCATAGTTATTGGAAATTTTATCGTTGTATGCATAGTTGTTGGGAACATGGGATGCTATAGCGATCCGCAACCCAGTATCAATCATTCTGGATGTGCATTCCCCGTTTTATAATTCAAACCAAATAAAATTTTGAAAAAGCAACTATTTTTCAAAATATTATACAACAAAAGGCATGAGAAATTAAGCAAATAAAGTATGAATACTTTACTTGCAACATGATTCCCAAGGTTCACCACTGATATCAACTAACATCTTTCTTGAATTTGACTCTTGCAAAACCTCTAACACTTAAATTTAAAAACTAAAACTAAAGCGTACCACGTTCCCTAGCTTTTCGTGTAACCAATTCCAAATAATTGGCATACTGGTCTCCCATTCCTATCCCATGAACCAGACAGAATCGTGTTCCATGCAACTATAGTTATATGTATGTACATACACAATCAAACACAAGGTTCATGCAATTTTAGGTGCCAGTCAATGGATGCCAATATATACATCATTTTCGGAAACATGAAAAATTCTACCTGTAAGTAAACAACTTGGTCAATGCTATAATTCTCGATCCAACTTTTTATTAGTAAATGATCTTGTAGAGCAATGCTAGACTTCCACTTAATTTTAGTTCAACAGTACATTTAATTGGCAACTATTTTATGTTTTAAATTTATTAAACATGGAACTCACCAATCTTATATTAAAGTGTGAGGTAATAGGATGAACTCAAACCATGAATCCAAGAATGTCCCCATTTTGGAGTGTGACAAGCAATAGATGTGTATTGAGATGTACCTCTCCAAAAACTTCAATATACATGGACCAATAATCAATTAATCCAAGAAATTGATCATACATTTGTTTTTTTTATCTCTTTTTTGACTTTTTAAGACATAGGTCTCTGCCACTATTTTCCCACAATGGGTTTTACTAGTTAAGATTCCCCGTGATTAAACTGTAAATGTATCAATTAATTTTCTTATTATTTGTGATATGTCAAAGCTCTTCGTTAGTGTACTTTTAAGGTCATCTGTCATCAGATATTATATAGATTCGGAGCCTGAAGTTCATAATAGAAATATTATAATTGAAATACTACTTCATTCTTCGTTGAATTTTCTACGGAGAAACAGTTCTCGCACTTTATAGATGTGTTACTTATTTTATTCGTATCCCTAGCTTTATATAAATTGAATTAGTATTTTTGTTCTTAAATGGATTGATCAATTTCATGGCATATATTCTGCATGAATATTACGTATTCCGTTGTGTCCATAATATACGGAACTCACAAAGAACAACAAACCCTTGTACGGACATGAAACTGAAAGGTTGTTGTCCCCTTATTTTCTCTCTTCTGATCCATCAACACCTTAAATTTTGTAAGGGTTAGGTCTACTAGTTTTTTTATATCATTTCCAGCTCCTTCTGATATTGTTATTTGGAAAATCACATTGCTAATTAAATCGTTATGATGCACTGAAGTCATTGCTCATGCTTAATGTATTATCCCTTCATTTGATGAGATGAACATAGAATTTTTACCCATTTAATTTTTTTCAGCTTGCTCGAAGGGTTCGTGAGATGCGTGAGACAAGGGCTACACCTGCCACTCAAACTATTGACCCAAGAGCAGCATTAGCTCGAAAGGGCCTCACCAACTTGCAATCCTTACCTCGGGGGGTGGAGGTTTTAGATCCACTGGGGCTAGGGTAAGTTTACAAGCATGCAACTGAAATGCATATTATTTTTGTCCAAATTATTGCCGATATTATCAAACATTTTTTAATTTGTATTAGACATTTTAATTGCATTTTTTCATGCTTCGGCATGAATTTTTGGTTTTTAGCAATTTTCATATTTCAGCATGCAATTTCTACACTCCTTTCTGTAAATTACTGTTGCAACAGTTCCTTCAAAAACTCTTCTTTCTTGAATTCTTGGTATCTATCTCTTCACTACCTCAGCTATATCTTCCTCTGCTTGTTTACCATAAACATATCTTATTACATGATTAGAATTTTTTAATGTTTATATTTCACTTAGAATTGATATCTATATACATCCAATGTAATACTCCAATATTTACTAAATATTCCTGTATTTGCCATACTATATCTAATTTGTCCATCCAAGATAACTCCGATATCTGTTACTAGAACGCTCTTTATCTGAGCGTGTGTGGATATATATATATATATATATATACTATATATATATATATATAGATAATATATATATAATATATAATATATATAATATATAATATCATAATATATAATATATAATCGAGAGAAAAATGGGATATGCTTCGCGACCAAGCCACAAAAGAGTTGTATGCTTGGTAGTGAGCGCTGACATAATTCCCTCTACTTCATTCAAATAGTTGCATATCCCCATGATTCCTCAACCCATTAAATGCTGATCCCCATTTGACATGAGTGAGGATTGTGCCACCTCACTACCAAGCCACAAAATTTGTGCCTTGGCTACACAGCTACCCATGTTATTATACTATATATCATATATATATATATATAATAATTACCCCTAATATTATATATCCTCATAAATTATATATATAATATATATAATATATATAATGCCGCATACCAGATATATACATATGCATATAGATATTTACATATGTAGACATATAGACATACATATAGATATATAGACATATAGATATGTATATGTATATATATATATATAGGGTTTGATGGTTGTGAGGTGGTGGCTCATTTAGCAAAATGAGCTACTAAGAGATGAAATAGTGAGGTCCACACCTTTTGATGTGACAACTAAGGTGGACCAAATCACTTGTGTATTTCTTGATAGCGCGTTTTGCAAAATGAATTGTCAGCTCATACTCATTTCCCCCCATATATATATGTACTTATGTATACATCTACGTTTTAGGTCCCTGTATATTATGTATATAGTTTTCTCAGCTAGAAATTTGACATCAATGTTATATGATTGATTTCAACTGGATTGTAGTTGTAGATCATAAAATATAATGTACTATGTGAGGATTTTGCAAAAATTCTCACACCTAACTCTACTCTTGGCCTTATCTTGTTTAGCTATGGAAGGTTTTTCAAGATTCCTTCCTTAAAAATAAACTTCTAGTTATTTCTTGAGTTCATTAGAACTTAAGGTATATGCATTATGATGTGCACAATTTTTCCACTTGGTATAAGATGTTCACATAGTAACACTTTACATAGGTAAAGCGGGATTCCCGTGGTGGCATGACATGTTCTAGTGGAATTGAACCTTATTTGGTACTATAGTCCTCCAAGCTTCCAACTAGTTTTGGAATTATACAATTTTTAACACCTGGAGCGAGGACTTTCTGAGAAATTGCACATCTTATCACTACTCTTGTTCGCAGACCCTTAACTATGTACTTTTCACCATAGCTCTGATTTTTTTTACTTTATAAAAATTTATTATATACTTGGTATGTGACAAAATTTCCTCACCTTGGATCTCTTTCAATCAAGAGGCTTTTCCTTGCTTCTAGTTAAGGATGGGTATGTAAATTCAAAATTTGTTTTTGATCGTTTTTAAATTACAAGGTTTGCTTCTAGAGAACTCATGCGCAGGTGGCATGACAAACATCAAGAATGGAGAGAGCCAGTGTTGTAAATAGCGGCCAATAGCGGGGCTATAGCGGCGCGAATAGCGGTCGCGGCCCTTCAGCGCTATGCGTAGGGGTTTCGCGGCTGGCTTAAGCGGGAAAATCCGTTATTCATTCGAATAGCGCGTAAAAACGGATTTTAGCAGGTTAAAAGCGGGTTTTCGAGGTTACAAGCGGATTTTCGCGGTTAAAAGCGGATTTTTGTTGTTAAAAGCGGCTAAACCCGCTAAACCCGTTATCACACATATTATGATGCTATATTTATTGGATTTCTTCATAGTTTCATTCATACAACAAGCTTATTAATTGTTATTTATTGATAATACAAGAAATTTATAACTAATTGAATTTTTAGATTTTTTTATGAATTTTCTTATTATTTAGGATATTTAAATATATTTAAATTTGACCGCTATTTGACTGTGCGCTATTTGCCGCGATTTCGCCGCAATAGCCCGATATAGCCTTAGCGGTACCTCGCCGCGACGCGCCGCGATCCGCTATCAGCAACCTTGGAGAGAGCACATCTAGAGGAAAACCAAGTATTTAAGAACCCAGAATATATCCATCTATTGTATCAACATATATATATATATATATATATATATATATATATATATATATATATAATATATATATAATATATATATATTAATATATATATATATACTATATATAATATATTATATACAATACACACACATATTATATACATATATATGTACGATTCTATTATATGACATATATAGATACAGTATGTCTTATAACATTATATGATGCGGCCGTGCGCATATATATAACGAAACTATTTCTGAGCCTGATAGTTCATTTGCAAAAGGGAGAATGGCCAACACATTGCCATGTGAGCCTACACCAATGTACGCAAGAGGGGGACGGTTACATCGGGCATATGCTTTGGGCAAATCCATTTGACCAAAAATGTTTGTCAGTTCATAGTATAATTTTCTATATATATATAAGGTATATTATGTACAACTAATACTCATGCATATATATATTTCAATCTATATGGCAATATATATATATTTACATATATTGGATTTACTATATTATTTATATAATATATATATATGTATATATATGTGTGAATATATATATATACATATACATATATATATATATATATATATATATATACACACACACACACATATTAGTTCCTAAGGCATAACTAGCTTCGTTATGCCACTTGCAAAAAATGCAGATTTTGCAATGAAATTGGACGACTTTGTTCATCTTGATGTACATCTTAAAATGTCTACAAATATAAAATCATGTGTGTTGTACGCAAGGTTTTAAATGTCGGTTATCAGGGGTTTATCGGACGGTCAAAATTCTTATCGGATAGCGGAAATCAGGGATATATCGGGGATAAGTAGTATTTATCAGAGTAATATACTAGCAAATAATAAACAAACATAAGCTTGAAAAATAATATAATGTTAGTCAAAATGGAATAATAAACTAGCAAATAATAAGATAACATCAAGAATGAAGAACCATCTACGTATCTACATAATTATTGTTTAATCATGAGATTCATAAACTAACTTACTAAGTTGATATTTAGTAGTTATGAGCCATTATCAATATCCATAAACAAACATAAGCTAATCACCAATCAACCAAGTTCCAAAAGCAACAAATAGTTCATAATTTGTAAACATTCAAAAAGCAAATCCAAAAGAAAGTAAAAGCTCCCAAATCCTACTTATCGGCCGATAAAGCCGATATTTAGAGCCTACTTATCGGCCGATAAGTACCTTTATCGCCGATAACTCGCCGATAAACCTCAAAAAACGATAACCGATTAAAAATCCTACTTATCCTAGCGGAAAGCTCCCAAATCCGATAACTCGGCGATAATATCGGATTATCGGCCGATATTTAAAACCATGGTTGTACGTATATTACATAAGCCCCAAGTAGTCATAAAAAATAACGGATTTCTAACAACACAACAAGAAAGACCTCTTGATGCATGAGTTAGGTATTCCAAAGGACGATCCATTCCATTCATTATGATCTAAATGTCTCAAAACATGTATAAATAAAAAACCATGATGTTTCAATACTTCTAAGACATACTTTTCATTGTCTCTTTAGTTGTATTGATGGAAATTGTTAATTTTACAATCAATCGATACGTGATTAATTATAACCCAATATACTTAATTTTTTATTTATATACTGTACAAAACATGTAGATCACAATATACTCCTATAATAATGGTAGAGTAAGGTGTGCCCCCGGACGGATGGAGTAGCTATCGGCACAACCCTTAATGCAATGAATTTTTTGAGGAAAAAACAAGATGTTTCTTTTGTCTCTAGGCGATCAGAAATTAAAGAAATGGTTGATATATTCAAGATAATTACATATTTAGAAAATACCATCTCAATTCATCCTATTTCATCATATTTGAGATGTGATCTAGTTCTGAAAGAGGAACCAGATATGGAGAGTTCTTATAAGATTTCATTCTTGAACAAAAATCCATTTTTGGATTTATTCCATCTATTCCATGTCCACTCTTCAATTGTAGGCTGAGCTCGTCTCATCAGGGAGCTCACAGCTTTTTATCCATGAATGAATAAGTAGCACAAAGACACAACCAAGAAGAGAGAGAGACCAATTTCTAATAGATAAGATCATGCAGCTAATGTTTTAAATATCGGTTATCGGAAATATATTGGATAGCCAAAATTCATATCGGATCCTAGTTATCGGGATATATCGGGGATAAGTAGTAAAAATCAGAGTGTTATATTGGATGGTGATGATATATAATATAATGTCTTAAAAAGTAATCTAAGCACATTAAATGAAATATAAACATACTAATATGTAAATAACAAATGTTTAGGATCATTTACCAATTGTTTTTATTTAGTGGAAGCTAAATAGAATAGGATAGTATTGTTTTTGTTTAGTGTATGCGGGTCAAATATGGAAAAGAGGGTTTTTTTTGTCTCCAAACGTGAACTAGTTCACTTAGAATGTAAATTGTAGAAAATCGGGTGATTTTAGCTTACGAAAAATCGGCCGCTTTATCGGATTTACGCTGGTATATCGGGAAAAACCAGCCCAAAACTATATGCGGTATATTTTTACAAAAAACATATCGGCCATAGCCCAAAACCTATATATTGGGGATAAATCGATAAAATCAACCTATATTTAAAACATTGCATGCAGCTATATTAATTGTACAGTCTCTCATATAAAGAGATGCTTTTACAGCCAAAGCAGTAAGGTTTGGACGAATCCACTAAAGCAGAAAGGCCTGGGGATGCAGTTCCAACAAGGTCTGATTAGGAATCTTCTCGGACACATTATTCATTCAATAACCACTGGTTGAAGGTTGATTCCCAACAAGAGCAACCAGTTCAATAAGATAGGTAAATGTCAACTCTTGTTGACTCGGCCGTGATTGCTGACGTGTAATTGAAAGAGAGTACCCCAGGGGGATCTTCTCTGTCCTATGCATGCTCTTTATAAGAAGGAAGATCTGCTCTCATTTTTTTCGCTACTCTTTCTCTTGGCAAAGTCCTCCCACTATTTATAGTTATAGAATTCATTCCTCTTCTCCTGCAGCAATAGATGCATCCGTTGCTAGTTCATCGGGAGAGGGATATTTTATATAATAATTTTTTTTGACAACATAAGAGAGTGGGCAAGCAAAAAAGAATTGGCCTGAAAGCAAGGGAATCAATGATCTACGGTGAATTGGATTATGAGAGAGAGATTGGAACATCATCTAATTCTGATCTTCACAGTCTTCACTCTTCCTAATGTTGTCACACGAATTGCTCAATAATATGATGAGATGGTGAAATGAAATTTTATTGTGAGATGGTCTAATTGGCTCATCAAATTCATGATTCGTATCATACATCTAGTTCAAAACATCATCAAATGTATATGGTGAAATTTTCACAAAGTTTGGAATATGAATCAAACTAGTTTAATATATTGATTTTTCAGACAACTTATTAGCTGTCCATTTTGCACACTGCGAAAATAATAATGAGAAATTTCAAAATGATATAATTTTTTTTTACATATAAATCGTGATGAGTGCAAATCATGATGGACGGTGCCGATCATCATTCCGGGTAGTCCATTGGGTCATCTCATGATAAGAATTTCAGCTCACCATCTTATTTTATCATTTTTTTAATACACACATATATACAGTGTTTTTTAATACACACATATATACAGTGTTGAATATTAACTATCAGCAGTCGGTCCACGTCCGTGTTATCCATGTCTCTTTGCTGCAGAGTAGGGATTTATTTCCTCTACCTATTTTGTTACTGTTATTTTGTTACTGAAAGCATAGTCAATATGGTTTAGACTTGGGTTCATTGTGATTTTGCTGCAGTTTCCTTACTTCATGTTTAATTGCCTTACATAACTGTATATTGCTTCTCTTTACTTGGCAATATACTATGATATCTGATTAACATTGATTCATCCTGTCATTAACATGAATGTTTTGCTTCCTTCTTGCAGGGTAATAGATAACAAATCATTAAGGTTGATTATAGATTCTTCAGTAAGCTCTCCAGTTTCTAGAGAAAAAGATACTTTAGACCCCAATGAACGAGGTACTCAAATCTTGGCTAAAAATAATAAAGTAGATTGAGTTAGATATTTCATTGTGGAATTAACAATGTTAGGATTTGTAAGTCCAAAAAGTACAAATCATAGTTGATGTCCTGCTCTCAACTTTTTCTGCAATGTTAACAGAAATCGTTGAGTGACTGCTTAATAATAATCCCATTACTGGTGTATCTAAATGCTTATGGCAAGTTGCAATCCTTCTAAATGTAACATATCTTTTGCTCTTGTTATTTGCAGAAAAGGTAATCTACACCTCACCAGATTTTGATCCCAAAGTTTTTCTTTCGCGGGTTCACCAAGAGACAAGTGCTGCTGATTTAGAAGCTGGTGCTCTTACTTTGAAAACTGATCTTAAAGGGAGGACAAAGGAAAAGAAAAAGTTAGTTAAAGAGAACTTTGACTGTTTTGTTTCATGCAAGACTACAATTGATGGTAAGTTACCAAGTTTCTTAAACTTCAAAGTTATTGCCCTGAAACCTGTATTAGGCAGTTTAAGAGTTAGGTGGGTTGTGGGGAGACCTATCTTTAACTCATGATGTTAGCTATAAATATCTATTTTCTTTTCTTTTGATCTTCCTGTCAAAAGAAAAAAGGCTGTCTCATTATAACATTCCATAATAATCTATTATTTACTATCTGATGTTAATGTTATTTCTGTAACTTCTATATCTTATTCTCCTTTTGATTTTCTTTGTATGTTTTTTAAAAAAATATTCCTCAGGACAGAATTTCTCTGGGATATATAGTTTCCTCCGTTTCCTGTCACCATGTGAAAACATTGATTTTATTTGCAGATATCGAATCAAAACTGAGACAAATCGAGGAAGATCCCGAAGGTGCAGGTACTGCTCATTTGCATGCTGCTACAGAGAAAATCAGTGGAACAGCAAATCGTGCATTTCAGCCTCTTTTTGAGAGACAGGTGGTCATCTAACTTTTATCTTTCAGAAACTTGATACCAGTATCATCATACTGATATCTATTAGTTTATGCTTCTTTGCTTATGTCTTCTGTAATTCAGGTGCAAGCTGAGAAGATCAGATCAGTTCAAGGAATGCTTCAGAGATTCCGTACATTGTTTAATCTGCCTAGTACAATTCGTGGAAGCATCACCAAGGGAGAATATGATTTAGCTGTTAGGGAATATAGAAAAGCCAAGTCAATTGTCCTTCCTTCACATGTGAGTAGACACTCTCATGTTACATTTTGCTGCATTATGATCATGCTATCTGCACATATGTGCAGTTGAATTGCATATATCCATTCCAATGGTTGTCATTTCATTTCAAATTTATTATGCTTGTATGAACCAAGCAGATGCAGATGATGTGAGTGTCAGTCATTTGAAATTTAAATCCATTATTCTTGTTCTTTCTTTCTTTCTTTCTTTTCGATAGATGAGTGTTACTAGTTGACGAATTCTGTACACATGGACTCAATTTCCATGTGCTCTTTTCATTTTTAGTTTCAATTATATAATTGTTTCTTAAATAAGTTATGAGATATTTTTCCGACCTTCAAGTGTCTTAAATTGATGGGCATACTTTTACATTGGTGGGAAGTTGGGAAATGGGTTTTGCTTAGGATATAAATGAACCCGGGCTTAGCATAGCTAAAGTCTTGATCTATTTCATTGACACAAGCGTCATGCACGTGCACACACGGGTGAGTCTAGTTTCTTTGGTTTGTATCTGATTTCTTTGTTCTCTATAAGGTTCATTTTTGGTTGTGGTCATGCTTATAAAATTGAATGGTAATATTTTAAAATTGAATTGTAATATTTCTAAATATTACAAAATAAGGGTGTGGATGATTTTTATTTCAGAAGTTGAAATTCAAATTAGATGGCTTAACCACCAATTCCTCTCTTTTCGTAACATTTTAAAGGGGTTAATTGCATATATACCCCTTAATTCATGGTTATTTGCAAAAATACCCCCCTCAATCTTAGTATTTGCAAAACTACCACTCAAATAATCAGTTTTGAACAAAAATTACCCTCAAAGCAATTAATCATCAACTCTGATAAACTAATTTGCAATTACAATGTAAAAATTATCAACAAAATGGTCATATTTTTATCACCAAGTTGATAATTTGTTGATTTTAGGGGTATTTTTTTCCCATACTTGATGATTTGAGGGGTAGGTTTGCAAATACTAAGTTTTGGGGGGCATTTTTACAAATACCCTTGATTTAAGGGGTATATATGCATATAACCCTCTTCTAAAAGAAAGGAAATCTTAGCTCACTGAATAAGCATGTAGGTAGTTTTTATTTTAAAATTTCAAAGTAAAAAATAGGGACGACACATGAAAAGTTTTTTAAGATGTAAGGCTAACAACAAAGAACAATTTTTCTTAATATATAAATGGGAGTTTTAAACCATTTATTTTTCTATCTCTACCCTTTATGTAGTTTAGTTTGTTCTTTACACTTTCTCAGTTATCTTTTCTTTATTAATGACGTCTTTCACTTGATTCTCGTATTAGTTTAGAACTTTAGTCTCATATTAATTTGACAGACAATGTACGTTGTCAAGATAGTAACCAATGATTTTTTATTTTTTCATAGATATAAGGTCTTCACCTTTGACCACTAAGCTACCCTCTATAAAAATTGAAATACGGATAAATTTCACAAACCCTTAGTAAATTTGTGCGTTTGACCCTACACCCCTAATACCTTTGAAACTTTCACTAAGTCCTCAAAATATGTTGTTGAAAACTCCTAAATTAATTTCGTGAGTTCAAGTGTGGTCAAATAGCCAAAATACCCCCCAATTAATTTTGGAAGAAAGTACCCAATGAGTTTTTAGTTTTGTCACTTAACCCCTAATACTTTTGGCAGAACACCTCTAATAATGACTTTTTATAATTTTCAGGATTTTGTATGTAATTTTTGAATTTTTAGGAGATTGTTTGTATTCTTTGGATTTTGAAAAAGATTGTTCCTAATTTTTGGTTTTTGCAAGGAGCTCTTTGTAATAATGAAATTTTTTCGTGTGGTGTTTTGTCATTTTTGAATTTATAGGGTCTACATAGAATTTTTAGAAGGTTTTTTTGCAATTTTAGATTTTCCAAGGAGGTTGGGGTTTTTATAGTATTCGGATCTTTAAGAGTGTTTGTATTTTTCATATTCTTTCCGGGTTATGTTTGTAGTTTTTGGATTTTATAGGGGGTTGTCTATAATTTTTGAAATTGAAATGGGGTTGTTTGTAATTTTTAGATTTTTCAGGTGGTGGTTTTTAATTTCATATTTTTAGAAGGCTACTTGTAATTTTATATTTTTAGGGGTTGCTTGTAATTTTATGGGCTAATGTGCAAATAAGAATGATCTGAGAGGTATATATTGACCTCGAGGAATAATGTTCATTGTGTAAAATTATGGGATGACGTCGTTATGTGGATAAGGATTAAATGTAATTAATTAAAATGTTTTTTGGTTTTCTAAAATTCCAAAACTTATCGAGGGTTTCAAAAACTTTGGGGGTTTAGTGCCAAACAACCAATTTATTGGAGGTTTAGTAAAATTTATCCTTTAAATAATCAAGGAGGGCCACATAGTCATTCTTTGATATGTAAGGCTAACGGTTAACAACCAAACCCTCTTTTATATCAGGAAACAATTATTATTATGGGTTTAGTGAGAATTTTAAAAATTGAGGGTTTAGTACCAAAACGCCAAACTTGTTTGAGGATTAGTGAAATTTTGACTAAAAAAAAAGGGACACTTGACTATGTTTTGAGATTTAAGGTTAATAGTAAACCACTATTCTCTCCTTTATGTATAAAAGTAAGATAATTAAAAATATGATTATTAGATTGTTTTTAATTATGGATAATTATAATTAGATTAGGTTTACAGAATATTTGACTCTAATTATAATTCCTAATGATGAATACATTTAAATTGGTGAGGATTCTTAGATGAAGATAGAATTAGGTGTCCACATGTCAACTCTTGACAGGATAAGATGTCCATGTGTCAATTTTTTTATATGACAGATGTAAGTTTTTAGTGCCTTTAGGAATACCACAAATTTCTCATTATATATAAAGGAGGGATGTACTTGATGGTATGTTTGATTTATATTGATTTAGTTATCTAAGGTAATTTTGTATTCTTGGGTGGACATTGTAAACCGCTTAAGAATGTATAATGAATTAATATGTGGATATAGTTGTTTTGGAAATATATGAATATGAATAGTATGTATAACATTGGAAAGTGATTATTTTGTCAGCAATTTTGGTATGTATCTTAACTTATTTGTGACTATATATTTGTAACATTTAAGTTAGAAGTTAACATTACTAGGTTATATTAGCATATATATTATGCTGGTTCATACCTTGTACGACTCAGAAACCCCAGAGTCCTAGATTATTAAAAAAACCCCCTCTATTT